TTTCTGATCTTAGCACAACAGGCATTTTTCCTTTTTGTTTAGAACTGGAGCTTTGATAAGTTTCGAATAGATAAACGTCTTGACAATCAAATCTTCCAATTCTTCCAGTCCAACAAACTCTCTTGAAGATGTTGTCACATAGCTCACAGCACCCATCCGCTGAGATAGTTTCTTTCCATACGAATCATACTTTTTACACAAATAACTATTCCAATATTTTCCCAAATGAAAATCTCCTGGTTTTGAATAATCACAAATATCAGATTTTGTTCCAACGACCAATACTGATCTGTTGTAATCCAAAAATGGTTGAATTTCTGGAAGAAATCTATCAGAAAAATCCTTCAAACACTTATTCATCATTACTGGATTTGATATTGAATAGCACATTATAAAAATGTGACACTTGGATGGTGTATCATAAGAATAAGGAGTGTCAACTAATTGTAAACAATAACCTTCAATCCTCTTAATATCACACGAATTATAGTAACGGGGAACAGAAAAACCCTCTTCCGAATCATTGTATCTTTCATACCTAAGGTGAAGATAGTAACACAGAGTGGTCTTTCCAATACCATGTGGCCCAATGAAGCAACATCGAATTGGCTCTGATTCTTTCAGTAAATTTGCATATTCCTCCAATTTGAAATTCTCACAAAATGTCTCAAAGTTTTCAATTTCTTCCGAATATGAACCTCGCCACATCCAATCACTATTTAAAAGATTGAACCAAATGGTATTGACCAACATAAGTTGGAGATGTTCGGAAAATGAAAGAAATTTATCAACGATCGTGATGGTATCCAGTGGCAAGAGATTTAATGACATTTTTTGATATGATTGAAGAAAATAACGATGGTTAAAAAAACAGTCCGACCACAGGATGACAGTTGTTCTTGCTACAGTCCCATGCTCTACCAGCTGAGCTATCATCGGTATCGATCTTTTTGAAAAACAATATATGGTTTACCCATTTCCCCACAAAATAAATACACACCCTATTAAATAATATTAATTGTTGATGCCAGATTCATTGCAATATTTGACAAGAAGAGTAACACTTTTATTGTCAAGTAATCTGTAGGTAGAGAAGGAAGCCAGGTAAAAAAATAATGAGATGAGCAATGGAATAACAAGAACCCTTCAAAATATGCAACAAACACAATTACATCTCAAAAAGAGTAGTGAAAATTTATCAAACTTGTTGGCTGCTATTGAATCACGTCAGCAACCTGTTGTTGAAAATAAAGAAGGTTCTTATTAAGGTGGCGGTATGGTGTTCCGAAATAGGCAGCTAATCATCAAAAAAAAATTTGTTATGATGAAAAATGTTTTACTCCTTTCCTCTCTTTCTGCTCATGTGATAATAGCACATCACACCTTCATCTTTAATTTTGCAAACAATATTGCTATCTAGCGTTTTTGAATTTTTTCCTGATGAAACCC